TGAAGGACAAAATGAGAAGTGATGTGAATATCTTGTCCAAACCTGTTTCTGTTGCCCTTGAGTTAAGCCAGAGAGCAGACAATTATTCTGGGACAATACCCAGAATACTGTTTTATATCGAAATTATATTGGCCGCAAAACAAGCATGTTACCAAGTTTTATTTAAATTCTTCCAACTCGGTTTAACTTTGGTTACTCAGTCTAAACTGACTTATAAATGTTTAGGTTGCTTAAAATAAAATGAGTCAACTCTTTAACCACAAAGAGTTGACTTAAAAACCTTAAAATAAAGCTATTTGAAGATGTTAATACTGATTAAAACAGAGCTTAGATTATCATAGAACATCTAGCTGTATTTGAAGTCAGGTTTTGTTCATGCATTTCCTCATGCTTTGGTAAGATTGTACATCTTGGGTAAAAATAAACAACACTGTCTCACCAACAAATGTTGTTTAATTTTTTTCCACACATTTTGCTGTGTCATGCTTTAACTAGGCTTTAACGTCGTAGGGAAGTCATATTTAAAATTCAATTGATTCTGGTTTAAACATGTATATAAATGTATTCTTTATCAGACGATATTGTCCCAAAATTTAGAAAATTTGTATCTAAAAAAAAAATAAAAAATCCTGTCTTAAAATCTGTGTTTTTTCCCCGTTATCTTATGCAGGCCAGTTAGTTATACTTCAGCTTGAACACCTAAATTCGTATCATATATCAGCAATCATCTGTCAATCAAATTTTTTCAGTCATAGCATCTTGATTCATATGTCACAGCTAATATACACAACAGTTAAATAAGAAATAAGAATCATTTCCTTTCCCACTGAGTTCCGCCCTAGTGTTCACTGGGATGGACGTCTGTGTCTTTGGCAGGCGTACAGCTAACAGAACTGGCAGCATTGCGAGGCAAGGGCTCAAACATGTACGGCTGGAAGCCTTCTACACCAAACCAAGCTTCTGCCGCCCTGGCATCCTCTTCCACAACATCTTCGTCCCCACTTTCCTCCTCTAAATAAAAAATGGATGACGAAGGAGACTCATCCACGACCTCCGACACAAAACTCTCCTCCTCTTGCATGTTTCCGCTGTCCATAGCGTTCCTTGACAGTGTCGTTTCTAAGTCACCAATTTAGTGCTACTTTGTCCCAATGGAATTTCCCATTGGGAACCTACTAGCACTAAGTTACTAACTGATTAGCAAGATGCCATAAACAAACCGGCCACAACCAAACTTGTTTGCGAACCTTCCGCCACAACAATCCCGCCCCCTTGATAAATGACCAATCACATTCACTTTATTCACTCGTGTAAAGTCATGCGCCACCGGTTTCCTTACGACTTTAAACAGCAGCCTGGCATAATGTAATCACACTGAGGACATACATTTAAAATCTAGATTTTCATATTATTGTTTTCATACAACATGTTGTTAAGTACTAATACCAAATTATTGCAAATTAATATAGTTTTCACAACAAAAACACATGCGGATTTAAAGGTAATGAGAAGTTGTACATTCATGTCAGAACACAGAGCCTCTAAATTTATGGGCCTCTTTTTATAAATCTTTTCTTTCCCCATTTTACATACACTATATTGCCAAAAGTATTTGCTCACCCATCCAAATTATTGGAATCAGGTGTTCCAATCACTTCCATGGCCACAGGTGTATAAATTCAAGCACCTAGGCATGCAGACTGTTTTTACAAACATTTGTGAAAGAATGGGTCGCTCTCAGGAGCTCAGTGAATTCCAGCGTGGAACTGTGATAGGATGCCACCTGTGCAACAAATCCAGTCGTGAAATTTCCTCGCTCCTAAATATTCCACAGTCAACTGTCAGCTGTATTATAAGAAAATGGAAGTGTTTGGGAACGACAGCAACTCAGCCACGAAGTGGTAGGCCACGTAAACTGACGCAGCGGGGTCAGCGGATGCTGACGCGCATAGTGCGAAGAGGTCGCCAACTTTCTGCAGAGTCAATCACTACAGACCTCCAAACTTCATGTGGCCTTCAGATTAGCTCAAGAACAGTGCGCAGAGAGCTTCATGGAATGGGTTTCCATGGTCGAGCAGCTGCATCCAAGCCATACATCACCAAGTGCAATGCAAAGCGTCGGATGCGGTGGTGTAAAGCACGCCGCCACTGGACTCTAGAGCAGTGGAGACGCGTTCTCTGGAGTGACGAATCGCGCTTCTCCATCTGGCAATCTGATGGACGGGTCTGGGTTTGGCGGTTGCCAGGAGAACGGTACTTGTCTGACTGCATTGTGCCAAGTGTAAAGTTTGGTGGAGGGGGGATTATGGTGTGGGGTTGTTTTTCAGGAGCTGGGCTTGGCCCCTTAGTTCCAGTGAAAGGAACTCTGAATGCTTCAGCATACCAAGACATTTTGGACAATTCCATGCTCCCAACTTTGTGGGAACAGTTTGGAGCTGGCCCCTTCCTCTTCCAACAAGACTGTGCACCAGTGCACAAAGCAAGGTCCATAAAGACATGGATGACAGAGTCTGGTGTGGATGAACTTGACTGGCCTGCACAGAGTCCTGACCTCAACCCGATAGAACACCTTTGGGATGAATTAGAGCGGAGACTGAGAGCCAGGCCTTCTCGTCCAACATCAGTGTGCGACCTCACAAATGCGCTTCTGGAAGAATGGTCAAAAATTCCCATAAACACACTCCTAAACCTTGTGGACAGCCTTCCCAGAAGAGTTGAAGCTGTTCTAGCTGCAAAGGGTGGACCGACGTCATATTGAACCCTATGGATTAGGAACGGGATGTCACTTAAGCTCATATGTGAGTCAAGGCAGGTGAGCAAATACTTTTGGCAATATAGTGTATATCCTACCCTCATCAAGTGTAAATGTGTCCAGAGCTGTAGAGTAGATGGTTTTTAGTGAGACTTGATGGGAACAAGATTTGAATAATTTATGTTAAGTTTCAAGGTTTGAACCTTCCCTACTATCCTCCTTACTGTGCATTTTGGTCTGAGAGACTCATGTATTTGTTTCAAGTTGTTAACTTAATTACTGTTTGGAATAAAGACATAGCGATGCTTCACATGAAGCACTTTTGCTTCTCTAGTGCATGACAGCAACAGAACAACATCAACTGTAAAAAGCAAGCAAAGCCTTTCTTTGGTTGAGAATGGATAAAAAATGTTCTTAGCCATTAAAAAGCTTCACTGAATGCATTTATTTATCATTTTCACACTACTAATAGAAAGATGTAGAGAGTAAGGCTAAAGCAAAATTCTGATTTAAAAAAAATCAAAATTGCAATTGAGATTTTATTAGAATTTTCCTCTGCATTAAGACAACCACATAAATGTTTTTCTCTTGGGGTTCATTGTTTTCACGACCTTAGGGTGACCAAACGTCCGTATTTCCCGGGACATATCCGTATTTCACGTCCTGTCCCGGGCGTCCCGGGTTTTTTTTAGAAAGTGAGGAAATGTCCTGATTTCACTGCGCACGACGCTCCGTGTGACGTAATCCCTGAGCCGCGTCAGTGCGGGCAGCCCTGCTCTTAATCAGAGGCTCTGTTCGAAAACCTGGGCTGCATCCTCCAAGGACGCGGTCTACCTGGACTGGATCCTTCGAAGTCCTTGAAAATAAGGAGGCCGGAAGAGTTTTGTCTGTAAATTCGAACAGGTCCACCCTTCGGCGGGTTTTACCGCCGTATGCTCTGTTGCTTAGCAACCGTGAAAGTTGGCACACAAAGCAGGAAAAGAATGAATACCAAGGTTTTCAAAACTGTTTGTTTATTTATTTTTAAAAAAGGTTAAAGTGAACAAAGACTACACTCACAAGAATCCAGAGTGGAATAAAGATTCCAACCACCGGGAGCAGGAACAAATCAATTCAAATGTAATGATAGAAACCTTAGTCAGTTAAATAACCTGCTGCTGTCATTCTGCACATCTCTGATGTTGCTGCTATTTTCAAATATCCATTACTGTAAAAATGTCCATAGCTGCATATTGGTTATTTATTCCCCAGTTTTATATTGTTAAAACACTTTACAGAATTTTATTTTTTATATTTTAACTCTTCCCTATTATGTTATTCTTATACATTTTTCTAAGGTCCACATTTGTGTGACCATTTTCAATAATCTTCCTGCTGCTGTAAATTTGCCCATTGTGGGACAATAAAGGGATTTTCTATTCTATTCTATAAAGGGGTTAGAAATATATAGGTAAATCTAAACAATGTATCTACAAAATATATCTGCAAAATCTCTAATATTCAACAACAAAAAATACTTAGTTAAGCATATTGTGCAAAACAAGAATAAAAAAATTTAACTCCTATCAAATTTATAGTCCCCACACTGCCGATCTATTAGAATCTGTCCTTAAATTATAGCCAAACCCATTTACACAGTAACAAATAAAAGCCTTTAGATAAACCAAACATTACCGCCACATATCTGACTCAATAACCATTAAAACAACCATTTTCATTCATTTCAGACGGAACTATTCACAGAGTTGTATTATATTAAACTGAACTTCCAATTTTCACCACTGTTCTGTGCCAAGTAACATTTCGTCTGATCACGGAGCAAATCCCGATGATGAGACATTTGTTCTTTCAATCACCCCGCCCCCCCGCTCCAAGGTGTCCTGGTTTTCCCAAATGAAAATATGGTCACCCTACACGACCTTAAATGCTCCATTGTCGTAGGACAACTGTCTACTTCTAGTTTGCATGGATCTGCTCTCCAGCTGCAATTCTCCTTCAATAATTTCTGAAGACTTACCTCTAATAAAGATGGGTCTCTTTTTTATTTTAATTGCTACTAAGGTGTTTAAATCTTGCAAAGAGTGGATTTTTTCCCCCAATTTCATTATGATCTGCTATTTGAAACCTCTCTGGCCTGACATGTTCAAGAAGGAGAACAAAATATTAAAAAATTCAACCTTGGCAGTCAGTCAGCACCCATTAATGTTCAAAAGGAAATTAAGGCAGAAATTGTGTGTTTTTTTTTCAGGATTTTGCCGATTCAATATTCCAGTTGGTGAGGGAGAAGTACCGATCGCTGGTGGGTGGCTGCAGCCCAGCACACGCTCGACACAAATCCCTAGCAGGCATCGTAATGACCCGAGGTATGGTAAATTTCATTGACTTTTATATATGACTTTGAATTATTGAAGCAGTGCAATATAGACAGAGTGACAGTGTGTGGTGGGGTGGGAGGGTGGGTAGTGGGTGAGGTGGGGGAGCGGAGAGAACAAGGGTAGGATGGAGGAGGAATTCTAGTTTGAGAGAGAAATTATGAAGGGAGCGTGGGAAGACAGACACAGTTTTCATTTCGCGGTGTTCCTTGAGAAGGCACCTTCTTGCTGAATTATTGACTATTCCGAGTCTCCGAGGAGAATGAGACATAGTAGAGATTGTCAGTCATCCCCAGTGCAGGCTGGACTCGTACCGTCGAGAAAGCCTTGACAGCAGTTCCAGATGCCACAGTGGGAATCCTAACTAGATCAGCCTAATCTAAAACCTGACGGAGTGACACACTGCAGGGACAGCAAGGAGGAGGAGGAAGAAGTTTTACTCCTCTGCTCTGCTGCAGTAGCAAACAATCACATGGACATGAATCCTCCCATTGCATTCATGCATTTAAAAGGTAACTGCAGCTGTTATATGTACATCCCAGCATGAGTTCATGAGAAATTCTGATGTGTTTTTGGTTTATTTGTTCTTAATTTACTCTTCTTGAAGTTTTTGGAAGTCTGTTAATCTCAAGTAAATTGGGCTACGTTCACACTGCTGGCGTTGAAGCTCAATTACGACTATTTTGTGAAATTCGATTTTTTTTGTGTTGCCTTTCACATTTCCAAATATAAGCGACGTCTATGCGATCGCCTGTGTGGACTGCATTCATAGAACGCAATTGTCCCTTATGCGCAGTAGAGGATGTACTGACGTCACAAGCCAGTGTGCTCTATTTTTACGGAAGTAAACATGGATGGCAGCGCTGGAGCACACCTAGCGATCTTTCCCAACCTTAAAAACTCAATGTTTTTAATATGGTTAAACACATATACTACTCTCCGCATTATCGTCCGCCATGGTTATTGTTTTTCTTACCGCTTCTGGATAGCAAGACGCAGAATTGTGACCTTTGTCGGGTATTAATGGCACACAGGTCTGATTCCGTAAAAGTAAAAAAAAATCCACTGTCCTTACAGGAGAAAATTCCCCTCCCCCCCTTAATGACTGACTTTCAGAATCATAGACAGGTTTCAGATATTACAGGCTAACAATGGAACCAATGTCCCACTCATCGGTTTCCATTTGCATGTTTCAAAGCAATACAAGGCCTTATCTATATAAAGACTCAAACTCACTGCGGATCCAGACATTTGAATTGAGAAAGCTTCCTGGAGAGGTGGCGAAACGTCTTCAAACCTTGGAAACCAAGTCCTGTGGATATTTTTTGAACTTTTACGGAATGACTATGACCTGGATGACTGAGAATCTTCATCAGCACACAGGTTGCATTTGAACAGATCAGATTCGTATCGGATTAAGGACCAAATAGCCAATTGGCCTGGGTCGCATTGGAAAAAATCACATCTGAGTTGTTAAGACTGTCATGAAAAGATCAGATCCAGGTCGCATATGTGCAAAAAAGTCAGATTTGGGTCACTTCAGGCTGCAGTGTGAACGTAGCCTTAGATGCACAGCACTGGTTTAAAGCACTTTTTTATATCTTTCTTTCTCCTCAACATTATGTCCTCAAAATAAGAATATTTAATTGGTAAATCATGAAAATGACAAATATCATCAGGAGAATGACGCCCAGTGTTCTTTAAAAACCTTTTCCTTCCATATTAAAGAGAAGACAGATTCCAACAAAAGTGAAACATTATTCCAATTGGTGCATTTGGGTCACCTACTTTCCTTCACCACTTTCTTCAATATCGCTAAATGATTGTATTTTACATTATAGGTATGTAGTAAACATCCCACGTGCATAATTCTTTTACCACAATGATGGTAACACAGTGCACTACTAAAGCACTAAAGAAGTAGAAGGCTTTGGTTCAGTTCGGAGCCTAATGGGGGGATAGTGACCTCTGGATGACCTTAATAAATAATCTTTACTATTTAACAAATAAAAAAAAGCACAAATGATCATTTTAACTGCAAAAACTGATGCTCTGTCAGAACAGCATACGCAGTCAGATTGACATACTTTTAGTTTTTATCTAACCTAAATTAATTCAGTCACAATGTAAACCACAGCAAATGTTTTCTATGATTTTAAACATGAAAACAAAATCTAACACATTTCAAATTCCCGCACACACATTTTTTTACTACTATAGTCACTTATTTTAAATTAATATTGAGTAACATGATTTCAGTTATAGAGGCTTCTTCCTTAATCATCCCAGAAACTTCAATCATGTCTGGCTGTTTCAACATCCAAGAAATAACAGTATAATCAAAGTCGATTTTCTTTTTTAAAAGTTAAAATAAACATGTTTTTGCTGGTCGGTACACTGCTGCTAAAATTCAACGTGGGAATAATTCTCTGTTGCGCATGTGCGTGCATGAGTGTTAGAACAATGTATGCCGATCTGGCAGGGTATGCTGTTCTGACAAACACTAACCATGAGATATATTTGCTGAGTTTTTTTTCCATGGGGTGGGGGGGGTCAGCATCCCGCTGCTAGGCTGCACTCATATTCTTTAAATTGTGCTTGTATTGTGTAAAATACACTCATTAAGTGTTATGAAAATAGGTAACCCCAATGCACCCACGGAGCATAATATGGGTTTTTATTGTTATCTTGACGCCACTGAAAGAAAAAAACAAAGCTATAGAGCAAATGAACAGGATTTATAAGCACTGTGATTGATTAACCTCCATGGAGACTAAAGTTAGCATTCTGCTACCTATTGGCTATTTTTTAAAGTTGTATCAAACTGGACTGGGATGGGGACATTTTCACATTTTTGGCTTTTATCATTAAAAACATTATCAGATATGAATTGACAGAATAGTCTGAATGTCACTTCTGCTGTTTAAGCCATTTTTATTTTGTTCAATTTATGGGAACATCTATAGAATATTGGAAATTTAAATAACTACAAATAAGAAGTACAAATATTCAATCTAATATTAATAGTAATAATATAATGAAGAAGCTTATTTATTTAGAACTATTAATATTTCACATTTAATTCTTATTGGTATGAATTTATTTTTGGTATATTGTATGTTTGTGGCTCTGTCAAAAGGGACAGTTATGGTGCAAGAAGTGATTTAAATTCACCCTAAACTGTTGTGATCCAGTTTAAAATCTATCAAACCAATAATTGGTCTGTAATGCTTTTGATTATCTCTAGGTAAATAGCTAAATTGCTTAAAGTAATCAACACTGAACTGCATGGTTCTTCACTGAAAAGACATTCTTTAAGATTTTAAAGCTGTTTTTGGTACTAATACAGCATTAGACGAGCGTGAAACCCGAAATATTTCAAAATAGGCTTTATTTCAAAGGGAGCTTTTAAAACAAACTAATAGGGATACTAGTATTTTTACTACTTGTAAAAGCAAAAACGAAAAACGGTAAAATTATGAATAACCTTGTCTCAGCTGGATGTATCGTTACACCCCTAATTTTTATTATTCAGAAATGATTTTACATAAATACACACAGTTCTGACATGAACATTGCATTTGCACACAAACAGACACACACACCAACAGAGGAGTGTTATCTCTGAGCAGCTGCAGGCAGTGGGGCTATAGGGGGGTCAGTGAGAAGGGATCGGTATCTCTGCAGCCTTTGGAGTCTTTGGAGTGCTGGAGCTCATCAGTTTGGACTTTACTGAGATCGGCACTCATCCCGAGCTAATCCAATCCCTCTCCTCTCCTCTGCCTCCCAGTAATTGCTTCTGTTTGTTTATTAATAGCAAACGTTATCTTCAAATATCCAGACCACAGGCTGCCAAGCATTCACAGCGAGGCGGCGGCTGCAGCAGCGGCGGTACGGCGGCCAGCGTCAAACACCGAAACTTGACAGAAAACTCTAGGGAGTCCTGTTGAGGCTTCCTGCCGCCTCCCGGTGCCCCCATGTGTCTCATGCCTCTGCTTTTAGCACAGCAACATGAATTAGGGTCCATCTTTGAACTGGAGGCACACAGCGAGCCCTCCCTTCTTCGTTCCTCCAAGATAGTGGAGCCCCAACCTGAGTGAGATTAGCCCCGCCGCGAGACGGAGACTGCAAGACCAATGCCAAAGTAAACTGAAAGCACATGGTGTCAGATAGTGTGAAAATCTCATTTTGAACTGATTGGAGATAACATTGGACATCTAGAGATGGTGAACAGTTCTCAGATGTGTTCAAAGACCTAAAAAACAGGAAAATCGGGATCATATGTATGAAACAGTGCTACAAGATACAAACATCCATTCCTGATTTGAATTTATTCACAGGGATGAGAGAACCTTTTTTAATTTTTTTTATTTCTTTATTGAGTGCACCGATGCAGGAGACAGCGAAGGAGGGGCACCACAGGAACTCAAAGAGAGATGAGAGTAGAGGTTTTCAAACAAGTTGATTTCAAATGACAGTTAAGTCTTGGTTCTTGGTCGGCATATCCGTTTTCAAATGGGGATTTTTCTTCGCTCTTTATCTGGTTTTCCAGCCGTCGCAAACTGTAACGTTGAAGTAATCACATAAGGCAACGAAACAGCTTGTCAGAAAAGGAAAAAAATAAATAAAAAGATGTGCAGAGTGTTGCAGCAGAGAGAGAATCTCACAAAGCCCCTCTTATATGTTCAGAGCAGTTGCCTGTTTAGGCTAATAGAGATTCAACAGGGTGCCTCCTCTGCTGAGTCCAAGTCAGTTTTTAACCCTCCCTGCATTTTTTTAAGCTGTTCCCAAATTTCTTTCCCCAAAGATTCAGACGACAGGAGTCGGATGACATTCATTTTAATCAGGCAACATCTTGCGGTGAGACAACATGCAGAAGATGGGACTTAAGAAGCTCCGACTAAATGACATTTAAAGGAGCTGGCATATGAACGGCATATAAACGCTGACCTTCAGAGCTCCTTCCGACTGAAATGTTTTAATGTCTGCTT